TTTCTGTTAGTAAACGGGCCCCTAGTTTCCTTTCCTCTTTCCCTAGACCTATTTCTTCTTCTCTTCTCTACCTACTTCTTCTTCTCTTCTCTACCTATTTCTTCTTCTTTTTCTCTATCTCTGCTTCTGTTTTTCTTGTTTAAATCTCAGGGTTGTGACATTTGGTATCAGAGCCCGTAATGGGGTCCCAATCTACATCATAAATGGAGGATAGAATGAACCGGTTGGAGGCTCAGATGATGGAGAACGGCTGGATGTTGATAGATAGTCAACCAAGGTTGAAGGATTTCGTTCAGGATCTCAAGGGGGAGATGGACGTATGGAAAGCTGAGATGTTCGAGGAGTTAAGGTTACACGGTTATATTCTTCCTGCCTCTGCTCCTTCTTCAGCTCATGGCAGAAGCGTCAGTTCAGCTCCGTCGATTCCAGCGGCTGAAGAAGTTGGGGATCCCGCCGGTGAATCGGAAGGGGAGAAGCTGAACTCACGTATTGGGGTGTTGCCGGATATGATGAAAGAAGCCAAGGACGGCGGTCGGGTAGCCTACTCTGTTTCCCAACTCCAAACGGCAACAGTTGACCACGAGAATGCTTCGGAGAGCTCAGATATGGAGATGGGAAATGGTACAGATGTGGCCGATGAAGAAGACAACACAGTGAATCCAGAATTGGCTTGCTTGCTCGGCGACTCTCAGCGAAGCTCCGACCCAACTCCGTTTCATCATTGTGTTCCTTCTCATCACTTTGATTTCGAGAAAATCAAGAGTGATCTTCACTGGACTTTCTACGGCTGTTTCAAGTTCATCGACTACATGAGGCCAGATGCAAACTTGAGTTCCTTGGCTCTACAATTATCATATCGGCTTGCAGCAGAATGTAATACTCCAGTGTGGGTTGAGCCTGTCTCATTTGAGGTAATTGATTGTATTGTGCCTCATTTTGTTCTATCATCTATTGAAGTAAGCGGTGTTGAAGTTATTGCTAAAAATGAGGAAGTATCAACCTTGTTAATCAGATAGTGATAGATAATGAAAATGATAGGAGCAATGATGATGGTTTAGATAGTTTTGATGTACAAATGGAGAAGTCAGTAGTGGTTCCTGATGAATGGATTTTGAAACAAGAGGAATGGCTGACAGTGCTTGAGTGTTCTTCACTTGGGTTTAGGACTTTCAATCCTCTAAGGAAGAATGATGAAATTAAAGGAGTCGATAGGAATGATATTTTTGATCCAGGGGGGATTAAATTAGAATTTTCCTTGAATAGTCCAACTAACCATAGTGTGCAGAGTGATGTTGAAGAGTGGGACTGTACTGAATTTAGTAATGAACACTGGCCCTGCTTAGCTACTCAGACTGGGGTGAGCACAATGATAGGAAGGGTGCATTCTCAGATCCATGAGGCATCAAAGAATGAGGAAAATACACCATTAAAGATAAAACTCAATGAATTTGGGGAGTGTTTGACTGCAACTATTGGGATAATATGTGTTCTTATTTGGCTGAATATTGGAAGGTATTTCCTCTCTGGGGAGTTAGCTAATGGAGGTCAAATGAAATTTGAGAAGTGCACTTATTATTTTGAAATTGATGTGGCTTTGGTTGCCATCCTAGAAAACTTGCTGGTAGTTCTTACAATTTGCTGGGCTCTTGGTACTTCCTTGCTTGATCCTTGGGGACAAGGATCCATTAAAGGGGAGGTACTGGTAATGGTGCAACAGATGTTTATACAATAATATAGTAGAGCTCACTTCCCAAAATTCTCAAAAGTTAATGGAGATAATCTCAAGCCTTTTAAGAAGGAGTTACATGGAATCTTAACAATTGCAATGTGGTTATATTTGGTGACTTATAGACTTGCAGATGAAGAAAAAATGGATGCAACCTCTGTATGGTATGTTATGGACGAATTAGGTTCATCTCTGCGGCATAGTGATGAACCAAATTTTGAGAAAGAAGAGTTGCAAAAGGAAGTTGAAGAAGTTATGAAAGTGAAAGAATCGAAGAGGGTGAAAATGGAGACTGCAGCTTTGATGTTGGTGAGTTTGGAATCAATACCAGGCTCATTATTTCGCTCGGAGGATGTGAAACATGTTTTAGTTGGATTGATGAGAGATCTTAGAGGAATTGCAATGGCTACCAGTAGTCGGAGGACATATGGGTTCCCTTTTGATTGGCTATATCCAGCACGCATGCCACTTATACTGGAAGCTACCACTGTATGGGCCGATGTTTCAGAGGTCACAACACCAATACTCAAATTCATTACCGGAGTATTTGACCTTCCATTTACAGATAGAACTTTATTGGATGTGGTTGGTTATAAGGCACATAGAGAGCTAGCATGTGAAGATGTACGCAAGTCCTTAGTTCTACTAAAGAATGGGAGGGTGAAAGAAAGCAGATTTGAACCTGAAATTTGTAAGGTTCATCTTGGTATTGCTGTGCTAATGATTCTTGCCCTGGGCATCAAGGACGTGCAGAGTTTTGATTTTGTTGATGCACCTAGTCCTAAAGGAATTGAGATGGCTATCAAAAAGCTGATTCACTTTGGAGCTATTGCATGCATTGAGGATGGTTATGAATTAACAGCAGACGGTCTTGTTCTTGCTCCTGTTATGGCAAATTCAAACAACATTTTCTGCAGAGTTGGTACTGAAGTAGATAAACTAAAATCTGATTGCCTTAAGGTTCAGTTTTTCCATCATGATGGTGATCTCTTCACCTTACTATTTGTTTACAAGGAATTGGATGTTGTTTCTCAAGAAAAGAAAAATGCCTGGTGTGAGAAAAATAGCATCAATGCCAAAACCATGAGAAGGTGCCAGGAGACTGTTGAAGATCTGGAAGCCTATCTTCAAAATGAACTGAGTAGTTTTGAACATAATAAATTTGATGATTATGAACCTGCATTGGAAGATGATGAATCTAGACTCAAAGCCTGTAGTGAGAATGAAGAAAAGAAGGTGGTTGCATCTATTGGTGGAAGAAACAATGTTGCTGCATGTACCAAGCATTTTGTGAGTGATGAAGGAACACTCTTGCTAAATGACACTCTGCTAGGAAATTCAATACCTTCCTTAGTCCTAGAAAATAGAAGAGGTTCCAGAGGGAGGGTTGAGCCAAAGAAGCCAAATGTATTGTTGCTAATCTATTTCTTTTTGTGACTGCGGATGGTTGGCTATTTTCAAATCACACTGGAACATAAGAAGCTAGCTGCTACATGGGAGAATGATGCTCAATTGCCCTTAAAAAGTTCAGTATCTACATACATGATCCTTGGGGACAAGGATCCATTGAAGGGGAAGGCAATGTCATGACCCTTGACCGGAGAGAGGGAAACATGAAGATGGGAATGGAAATTACTGACCAGAAGAGGAAGAATTCTTATAAGAAGCTAAGTGATGAAAGTCGGATGACCAATACGTCGCCGTTCGTAGATGAATCTATTAGCCGTTAATAACTTACATCACATGAAGCCGCATGAAGCTAGCCGTGGAAGCCGTTTTGAAATGATCACGGAACGACGTCGTTGGACCTTGGCGGTTGAGACAGCACGAAGGGTCAGATGCGGAGAAAACAGCAGTTTGTTAGAAGGATTATTGGAAGCATTAGGATAGTTGTCTTTATATATTGAAGTTTTGTAAGATATTTTCCTATGCTTTTTGTGAAATTGAAATCAGAAAACCTAGTTTCCTTTCCTCTTTCCCTAGACCTATTTCTTCTTCTCTTCTCTACCTACTTCTTCTTCTCTTCTCTACCTATTTCTTCTTCTTTTTCTCTATCTCTGCTTATTTTTTTCTTGTTCAAATCTCAGGGTTGTGACAATCTGCCCCAGAAACAGGGCTCTATATGCCTTTTGTACTGTTCTTTTGCCATTGACAGAGGTTGAGTTCACCGCCGTGAAGGCCACTTCGATGTGGAAATCCTCGTCGATTTTCAGCCTTTTGTAGAGTATTTTAGTTGCGTATTACATGCGAGTAGAATTCTGAAGCTTTCACCGTCGCCGCCCCTGCTTGCCAAGAACAGGTCTTCTCCCATTGCAGTTTTGTCTAGAACCCTCCCCGCGGCGTCAACGATACGTACATCCACAACGTTGTCTGCTCCGGTATCATACTTTCTCACCGCCGCCGATTATGTGGCCTTCGATTCCCAAGCTGGTGCAAAACCCCACCGGACTTATGGCTTGTTTGGTTGGACGTAATTTGGCTATAGTTGAATTTGGACGTAATTTGGAGGGGAACAGAATTGCAATTCAACAAAATTGCAATTCCCTCCTTTTGCTGAATTGCAATTCATGGGCACCCCCTATGAATTGCAATTCATGGTTGTGGGAAAAGGAAAAAGGATGAAATGACAAAAGTACCCTTAATTATTACTACTATTATTATTACACAAGGACATTTTAGTCTTTATATCACTTCTTTCATTCCCTACCCAATAATTCTATTCATCACTTCTTGGGGTCGCATGTGTGATCCTAAAATAAATGGATGAATGGGATTCAAGAAGCTTCATAAATTTAATATAGCATTATTGGCTAAACAAGGATGGCGCCTCCTAACAAATACCCAGTCCTTGGTTTCATGAATATATAAAGCTAGATACTACCCACATTCTGATTTTATGGAGGCTAACATTGGAGCCAATCCTAGCTATTGTTGGCGTTCTATTTTAGCAGGCCAAGAGGTATTGAAAAGAGGATTCTATCGAAGAATTGGTAATGGGATATCAACCACTGTCTGGAATCAACCTTGGCTGCCTTGCACTACTGATCCATTTATACACACACCTGCTACTATTGACCATCCAGCTATGAAGGTGAGTGATCTTATTGATCCAAACTTAAATGACTGGAATTCGGACCTTCTGTCTACAATATTTGAGCCAAGGGATGTTGATCTTATCATGAAAATACCAGTTGCAGTTACCTTTGAAGATTAGTGGTGCTGGCATGGGGACATACGAGGTATGTACTCAGTGAAACAAGGCTATCGTTTACTGATGGAGGAGAACGTTACGGGGACAACGTCGACAGCATGGAAGACAATATGGAAACTGAAAATCCCGCCTAATGTGAAGAATTTTTTATGGAGGTGTTTGCATGGAGTTCTACCCACTTTGTCTGTGTTAGCGAGTCGTCATGTTGAGGTGGACACCATTTGCCCCCTCTGTCACCTTTATGATGAATCTTTGAGGCATCTAATGTGTGATTGTACCCATGTTGCTGCTCTTTGGCAATCTCTTCCAAATTGTTTGATGCCTATAGGTGATGAGGATTTTGGAGATTGGCTAGCAGGAACATTAATGGGAGATGAAATTGTTATGATCCAATGTGCTGCTAGGCTTTGGTGTATTTGGTGTGAACGAAACTGTGTGGTTTGGTCTCAAAAGAATTGGAATGCAGCAGCTGCTAGTATGGAAGCTCTTAGAATACTGGAAAGTTGGCAGCCCCTTACTGGGAACCGCCTATCTGCTTCAGCTCTAAATTCGGCCGCACGAACTCATGCAGTAGTCCCAGATGATGCTTTCACTTTGTTGGTTGACGCGGCTGTATTCCCGAACGATGGCCTAGCAAGCTATGGAGTTGTCCTAAAGGACAGTGATGGCAATTATGTTGCGGTGAAGAATGGTCCAATACGGTGTGTACAGGATGCCCACCTGGCAGAGGCTATCGCGATTAAGGAGGCTCTTTCGTGGGCTTATGAACGACGGCTTTCGAATGTGGTGGTTCTATCTGATTGCCAAACCGCCTGCAAGTTCTTTAATGGTTCTCTTTTGGATTTTTCCAGTGCGGGTTGCGTTATCCAGCAATGCCGCGTCCTTAGATGACACTTTACATTTGTGTCTATTCAGTTTGTTCATAGATCAGAGAATCAGTTAGCTCATGCTATGGCTAGAGCTGCTCATTCTGCTACTGGTCCTTCTATATGGTCTCATTCTGTTCCTGCTTGTATTGAACCTTTACTTTAATTGAATTTTTACTTATTCCTTTCAAAAAAAAAATGTAATTTGAATTCCTATTTTATTCTCACCTTATTCTTTTCTCACCGAATTACAATTCCTTTCCACCCTAATTCCTTACTCCCAACCAAACGCCCTGTTAAGCATCATTATCTTCAAAGTAATGAAAGTTCTCTAATGCCCTTAAAGTGGTGAGTGAAAGGACGATTTTGCCCTTATAATAGACAGCGAGTTAACCCCAAACAGACGGAGGACCATATGGGTTACAAATTAAATAGTTGATGACTGAATAGGTCAAAAAAATAAGTCGAGGACCAAGTCGGTACTTTCACTATAGTCGAGGGACCATTTTGGTAATTTACTCTACAAACTAACATTAACTTTGTATTAACTCTATATATATACCGAGGTTTGAAGCAAAAAAAAGCTTCGATTTTCTGTTTTAGGCATGTTCATCGGACTATACATTTGTTATCGGCTTTCCAGGTTGCAGAGTTATTGTTTCAATTGTGTATTATCGTATTTAAATTAATATAAAATACTTAGAATCGATCTAATTAAATTAAAAAGTATTTATGAATATAATATTAATAGTGATGATATACAATTTATTCCAACCATTTCATATTTTATTATAAATATTTTTTATCACGTTTTGAAATTATTTTTTTAAAAAAAAATTTTTTGCCTCCACTAAACGACATTTTTTGTTCTACCCCTATAAATCAATATTGTCTTTTTGTAATAGACAATGATTTTTTTATTATCTTTCTTCTCCATTTGTAGTTAACTGTTTTTTTTTTTTTTTTTTTTTTTTTTTTTTTTTTTTTTTTAAGCAATGGTTTATATATGTCTGTTGTCCATTTGGTTGTAATTTTTCACAATAGTTTTGTCATTATATGTATGCCTATTTATGATCATAGAAAATCAAAATCCAAATACATAACGTCAAGCATTCGTGAATAATAAAGAGTTAATCCAAAGTTAATGTTTGTTTGTACAACTATATATAAGTACTAGGTTAATAATCAAAATTATTGTTCTAAGTTATTTAAAAAAAATTATTTTCTAGCTAACAATTAAAGTAAAAAAATTGTTTATTTAGAAAATGAAAATAAGTACAAGATCAACCCATTTTAATCAAAATGAGTACAAAATCATGTTTGAACTATAAAGAGAAAATTTTCAAAATGATCCTCCGATTATGACTTTTCTCAAATCGGTCCTTTGACTATAGTGAAAATCGTGAATTACTAGTTTTACCATTCATTTTAACACCCACTTAACACCAAAACTAACGGAGAATCATTTTGACTTAAAATTTAATAGTCGGAGGACCACTTTGCGTGCAATTAAAGTCAAGGAACCAATTTGAGAAAATGTCATAGTCGGAGGACTATTTTGGAAATTAACTCTAATAATAATAATAACAATAGTAATAGTAATAGTAATAGTAATAGTAATAGTAATAACAACAACGCAAATCTTATTTCGGATGAAAAAAAGATAATAATAATAATAATAATAATAATAATAATAATAATAATAATAATAATAATAATAATAATAATAATAACAATAACAACAACAACGCAAATCTTATTTCGGATGAAAAAAAGATGGTAACATTTTGAGACTTCACCCACACCATCCAGGCATCCATGATCCATCACAATTATTTAGGAAATTGTACAAATAACACTTTTTTTTAATGATGTAATCATTTGGACAATGCTCTGTAATAGGAAAACGCTATATATACTACTCCGTATTTTTAATTCCTCTGCTGTAACTAACAGTAGCGAGCAGGCTAGCAGTAGCGAGTAGCGACAAAAGTAGCAGTACAAATTTGTCATCAATGCTCTTTTCTTAATCCTTTCCTTTTCCTCAAAATCTCAACAATACCCAACACCCAACCCAAGCAGTAGGAGAAAAAAAAAATCATTTCCATCTTGATAGTGAATTTGTTGGCAATGGCGAAAACAGAGAGCTCAGAAGAAGAGGGGTTGGGTGTTACTCCTCTGCTTCCGAGATTGCCAGCCAGTGAAAGCCGAGGACCCAACGTTGTACTTGTGCTAAGCACCTTGGTTGCAGTCGCAGGTTCTTTCGTTTTTGGTTGTGCTGTGAGTATTACAATTGTTGTTTTATCCAATTTCTTTCTCTTCTTTGTGTAGATATATTTGCATATTTCAACAAGTTATCAGAGGTCAACGTCTGTTTTATGCCCAATTACAGGTGGGATTTTCTTCACCAGCTCAGTCTGGGATAATAGATGATCTAGGCCTCTCTTTGGCTGAGGTGAGCCCAATATTTACTAGCAGATATTGTTGGAAATTTTAGCTAAAATGACAATTTAAGTAGTTATTTGCTATTATGTGGTACAAATATAAGTGGGTCCACTCTTAATTTGAGTCGGGTGGATTCGAGTTTTTCGTAGTGAGACGAAAAAATTGATTATACACTCAAAACAGATAATGGGTGAATGAGAAATTGATATCTAAGTAGACCCATTTGAATTGATATCTAAAGGGTGGTTGAATTGTATAGTATAAAAGCTCCCTCTTTGGTTAGATACTTTGCAAAAGTGAATGGTTGGTATTTGTTGTTAGTATTAGATATCTTGAACTTTAGATCTATTAGATGATAAGTGTTACGCTTCACTGTAATGCTTAATGTGAACCAGTTTAGTTCATTTCAGAATAGTGAATAAAAATGCTTACTGTTAGGAAAAATATAACTGCCCAAGAATACCTATGTAGCTAGGTATTTCTCAAATCTCGATCTAATGCTTGAGTCTCTTCTTTGCTTTTGGTCACTAAACAAATTATGTTCTTGTTCTTCGTTAAATGAATTTTTCTCTATTTGGTTTTCTTTGCATCATCTTCGATTGGCTATGTTTTGCAGTATTCCTTATTTGGTTCTATTTTAACAATTGGAGCAATGCTAGGCGCAATTATGAGCGGCAAAATAGCAGATCTATTTGCAAGGAGAGGAGTATGTTCCAATTTTGTTTCTTAAACATCTAGGAATATATACATTGTTATAAGTTAGAGCTGAAGGTATTCGTGATTAGCTTTTTATTGAATAATGCAGGCAATGGGGTTCTCAGAGTTATTTGGCCTTGTTGGATGGCTTGCAATTATATTTGGTCAGGTATTCTACCTCTTCATTCATTTAATGGTTTATGTTGGGCGGAGGCCAGTAAAGGGCCAAGTCCATCAATTGGTGGCTCGGGGATTGTCGATTGGAGGCCGGTGAAGGACCAAGTCCAGCACCCTATCTCTCGAAAATGTGATGGTAGTCTATAAGGAAATAAAGTTGGGTCTTCGCTACGAGCTATAACTTTTGGCGTAGTGGTAAGCGCTTGATCCTAACAGTTTAGTTTTTTACTGAGCATAAAGTTCTTGTCCTGATTGAAATGTCTTTTGACACATTTTGAACTCAGAAAAGAAGAGAAGAGTTTGCATTACTTTTTTTTGAATGCCGAGTTTGCATTACTTAATTTTGTGTCAAATGAATTTATAGTGCTACTTTTCCTATTCTTGACAGAATGCTTGGTGGCTGGACATTGGAAGGCTATTAATTGGATTTGGAATTGGTGTTCTTTCATATGTGGTAAATGCAATGTATTTTCCGGTTTTTATTTTATTTATTTTATTTTTTTAAACCTATTTTGGAGTAAGTAGAATTTCTCTTATGCATTTATATGCAGGTTCCTGTGTATATAGCAGAAATAACACCTAAGAATCTCCGTGGTGCTTTTACAAATGTCAATCAGGTAACAAATACAATTCTGGATTTTTGATGTTCACACTGAATTTCTAACTTTCGAGGCTAAAAAATGTCATTGTTGCTCCAGTTGATGATATGTTGTGGTGTATCAGTAACATATCTTGTTGGAGCCGTCATCGCATGGCGCCCACTCGCTGTTATTGGTAATTTCTGTTGACTCTGCTCTCCATTTTTTTTTGGTGTGACAAGGGAAACCTACAGTTTCTACCCGAGGGTGTGCACTGGGTAAACCCCACCTTGTGACCCTAGCTAGCAAAAGACCACAAAGAGGTAAACCAGCCTAGGCTGCCCATGACTGACCGGCTCAAACCAAGAAGGTTGGGATTCAAACTCGTGACCTTCTGGTTACAAGTTTGTATCCTTAGCTATCTTAGCCGGGGTTACCCCATTTCCTCATATGAGTGTGTGTGTGTGTGTTTTCAAAGGAGAGGAATGTTAGGCCTTTTTTAACGTCATTCCAGGAATGCTTGCATCTATACTTCAGCTCTTGGGCTTGCTTTTCATTCCTGAATCTCCTAGATGGCTGGTAAGTTGAACGAAAAATTTAGGAAAATACAACTTTACAATATTTATATATATATATATATATATATATATATATATATATATATATATATATATATATATATATATATATATATATATATATTTGTTTGTTTCTTTTCTTTTGTTTTTGTAAGTAGGTGTTTTATGGATGATATATTGAAGAAAAAGCATAGGTTTAATTGAAACAATTTCGACATAAATATGAACTGCATTTTCTGACAGATAACTTGTCACTCGTATTGCTTTCAGCAACAACTGTGTAGCTGTTACAAGCTTATAATGTCTAATTTTTATTTTTTTTACAGGCTAAAAGTGGTAGGTGGAAAGAATGTGAAGCATCCTTAAAGCAGCTTAGGGGAGAGAATGTCAATATTTCAGAAGAAGCTTCTGAAATTCGAGTATTTTTCTAACTTGATTGTATTCGACGTATTGCATGTATCGATCATTGCTTTCTTATTCTGCTTGTGTATATTTGGCAGGGTTATACAGAAACCCTTCAACAACTGTCCGAGTCTAATTTAATCGATTTG